GCATGAGGCCGGCCAACACGACTGCCACTTCAAATTAAATTTCTGATCGATTAAGTGCATTTTACGCTTTGACAATGAAGAGCCGACCCAGCTCTTTGAAACGTCAGCACTTAAATAAACCTCTTCCGGAGAGGCTGTCTTCGTCTTCAATTTCCAATATGCATAGCCAAGTGCCGTCTAAACCATTATAGTCCGTGGAAATTAATGTGATGGATGAACTGTCGAAATTTTCGTTTCCAAGGTCGATGAGGAAATATAGATGTCTACCCAATGAAACTAAGTAGCAATCATGTAGGCATGGATTTTTTTGGGGGGCGAGATGGTTATGCTTCAATCTCGCTCTGTTTAGGTCTTCTGAGTGAATCTATTCCCGTGTCTCTTCACAGCTGTTAGCACAAACGGATTCTTGAGCGAGTCCAGTGTGAGAATGCCTTTAGCTCGAAATTCGCGCATAATTCCGAATACTGTGCTGTGTCTCCAGATCTGATACGGCCAATTATAGCGATTAGTATGCCGCGATACTGCCTACAGACGAAACCAGGTCCTATGATTCATAAAATCTTCCTTGGCGCTTTTTGTAGACTCATAAATCGAAGCCGCTCTTCGCTATGAGGATTTTGGAATATGTGTATTTAATTGTACAGTAGGTGGGCTAACTCATGAAATGTAAACCAAAATGCGTTTTCGTTTCGAAAAGATTAATTAAGTAGGGTTGTAAAACTGATCATCGTGCAGCATAATTCTATAATAATCCAATTGCCTCAGGGTGCCTTCTTTCGAATGAACTTCATTCGGACTGCATGCAAAAACAACACTCTGTAAAAAATGACTACTTATGTAGCTTGAATTTTTCTCATTGATTTTCGATGCCCCTAAAAGTCCAATTATATTACCAGAAAAACATGTATGAACATATTCGTTCTTTTGCTCATTGAATAGAAAATTACGTCTTCTAATTTTCTACTCGAAGGAGGGACATCATTCGGTCTTTAAAAAGTTTCTAACTGTGGGGACTTTTAAATACCGTGAAATGGCCGTTCATAAAACGTCATGTCTCTGCATTTACCAATGTGGCCTGTAAAGTTAACAATATGGATCTAATCTACTGCTTGATTTTATGAACCTTATATGGTCTCCCTTTAATACCGTAGATAAATGTATGGTTTTCCGTACGCGGAAAATATACGACTTGTAGTTTATGAAACCCTGAATCCAAGTGTAACGGTAGAGAGGGTTCAAAATTATTCGGGAATTAGAAAAGTTTTTGAAAACCGAATTGTACCCTTCCCTCGAGTATAAGATTGGAAGAAGACGTAATTGTCTACCGAATGAGCAAAAGAATGAATATTTTATTCACGTTTTCGAGGAAATATAATTGGACTTTTAGGAGCATCGAAAATCAATGAGAAACATTCATGCTACCTAAGTGGTCACTTTTTACAGAGTGTAGTTTTTGGAGGCAGCCGGAAGGAAGTTTATTCGGAAGCCGGCATCCTGAGGTAACTGAAATATTATAGAATTATGTTGCAGACTGACTAGTTTTACAATCCTACTTAATCTTTTCGAAACGAAAACGCATTTCGGAATTTCGGTTGACATTTAATGAGTTGGCCCACCTACTATACCTGGCTCTATACGGTTTATGAACACGCTTCCCATGTTTCTAATAGAAGACTCGCTTTCCGGAGGTGAGCTTCTCTCTGGAATTTACCCGGAGAACCCTAAGATATCATGACCGTTCTGACTTGAGTGTCCAGAGAAAAATAGCATAGTTTTGCATGTAAACCCGAAAACCGCCGACACCGCCGTCGTCGCCACCACCACTGAAGTACCTTCTTTCACGCCTTATTTCATATTACAGTCCTAACTAGCATAATGAGTAAGCAGGCTCCTCCAATAATGCGGAAGCTGTTAATTGGCCAATTGCGGGATCTCTGTGTAGAGCCCACTTCCGGTAGCCAGACGACTCGCATCTTCTCAGTTCCCGCGGTCGCACCAGGGAGCCGTCTTCTCTTCTCCCTCGTCTGGTTGCAAGGCCGCGTCATGGCCATTGACCCGACGCCGCCTGTCGTCGCGTCCTCGTCACTAGCGCCGGAACCCGCGCCTGAACCCAAAGCTCCCATCCGCTGTCTCCTCCTGGATGACGGCACAGACTCTGTGCTGGTGGATGCGGCTGCCGCTAGCGCCAAGGCCAACACGATCCCTCGTCTGGGAGACTACGTCTCGGTCATTGGAGAGCTCCGGTCGAGGCGGCAGGACGGGGCCCTGACTGCCAGCGTGCAGCACAACTGGCAGGTTGAGGCGTGTTGTCTGATGTCGCTCAGTCATGCTGACAAGTACTCACTGTGTGAGAGTCAGCAGAGGCAGAAACAGCCCTCGGTGTTCGCCGAACTCTCCTGGCCCCTGGAGGTCCTGGACATGTCCAGACACTTTTTCACGCCGGCCTGATGATTCCAAGAAAAGCTCTGCTGCCTGTTCAACTACTCCCAAAATTATAAATCCTTTCGCCCGGTTTCCATCGACTATCCGAAACCACTTACACTGGTTTAGGAACTCTATGTGTGGTCGGGTAGTCGTTTATTTCTTTGCCTGGAAATATATGTATATATATGTGTGCGGAGAAGTTTCGCTTTTTCCCTGGCATTTTTAAAAAATTGTTGTGGAGAGTGCAAGCGGGGTAGAACCACGGCCCAATGGCGCTGAGCAGGGGACCAAGCCGGCGGCGTGAGACACGCGTGAAGTTAGACGGCCGGCCGGCATGCACTGCAGCGCCGAGCGCGTGTTGTGGCTTTGTTCACGTGTGCGGCCCAATCAATGGCTGGTGGAACATTCTTGACGCTTCTGCGGGGGGGGGGCTATCGCGCACACGGTGGCCAATTAGCGATCAGCACGCCCGGGGCAGGAACATTCTAAAACGCCCCCAACGACTGGCACGGAATGTTCCAGAATGCACAGGGACCAATATAAATAGCGCACCTTTTTTACGAGTTGGAACCCCTCGTGTCCGCAAGTTACCAATAAAGTGCTTGTCCTCCGAACCGGCTCTCTTCCTGTCATACTTTCCTTCCGGCTCATAACAAAACATAGTGGTCTTCTCCCGTAAAAAATGTGTACCCCCAAGGGATGCTAACGTACAAAATTTATTTAGTTTTTCGCGTTGTATGCAGGCAAACTTGGGAAGCAAATACTGTTCAAGTACTTTGATTCTCAGACCAGGCAAGGATCTCGCCGGCCGGAGTACTGGGGGATTTCGCTTATCGATGTCTTCCTGGTAACATGCTAGAAGGCGGGTGGTTGAATTGGGTTCGTCTTGCAACATTTGACGGCCTTGTCCATACAGACTTAAAATTGAGTGATTCCACTCATTTTAAGGATTTAATGTTCTTTCATTCCAATAGAGCCTCATCTGAAGTAGCTAAGCTATTTATTATGAGAACAACACATTCTTTTCAGTCAAAAATAATAATAATTTAAGCTAGGACGCAGCGTTAGAATTCCCTGATCTCCAATTTCAGCTGCCGTTGACCAAGCAGAGCCATCGTCTGCAACTCTTCAGAGTTACACTAAAAAGGGACAGGAAAAACACGCCGTTTACTTTAGTGTAACACATTAAAACAACACGAAAATGTACTATCGCTTTTTACTACGCTTTACTTGGCAGTAACCCCATGGGCGCGATGGGCTTCTGCATCAACTCCTTTCGTGTGCATAAACTCAACATAATATCTGAATGATGGCTGCAAACCATTCCTTTGGCATATAACAGGCTCTCAGTGAGGACTGCGTGTCTTCCGCAACCGCAAGAAGATCACTTGACGTCGACAAAACTTGCTGCTAAAAATAGTCATTCAATTTGGGGTGCTCCAGGTGTGGACACTACTTCCGCGTGTCGAATTGAACACAGATTCACAGTGCTACTGACATACACCGAGTACCATTTATTGTATTCGAGAAGTTAGCCTGACGGTTCTGAGATGGACACCTAGCAGTTTGAAAAAGGCTTCTAAATCGAAGAAATAGCCAAGGTACCATTCTTATCTCTCGGCCCTCATGTGCGTCAGGACCCACCGACCTGCGGAATGGTACTGCACACCAAGCACGCCATTTCACCATCCAGCATCGAAAATCAACGGGGGATCCGCACTGACTGGCACTCAGAGGTCAAGAAGTCGGAGCACGACAGCTGGACAATGTTGTGACTCTTTCATAAGGCGGATTGGTACGAAAAGAGTTACCAAGCTAGTGTACGTACGGTGATTGCCATGACTGTACTCGTCGTCATTCCTGTCTGTCCTACAGGATAACCGGTGACAGGCTACCAAGGTGTCGGGTTTTGGACTGCCCTCACAACGTAACTGCCTAATTCAAGTATACTTAGTCAGGACGCTGCATTAATTGGACTGAGGCATGGTAACCAGAAGGGGCATTTACGCGTTGATCTACTCCCGACTTTTCCAAACAGACCTCAGACAGGACTCTTGGGCAGCGCGCCCTGCGACTCGGTTTCACCTAATTTGGCAAG